GTCGAGGTTCATTTACCTGATTACTATTTTGATCTTGCATACTATTTTGGTCTTCATCTTCAGATTCAGAATCTTCATTGTAAGCTTCAATATTCTCCACTGCAAGTCCAATTAAATCAGAGAGTGCTGAATTTATTTCTGGAAGATGATGGTTATATAAATTCATCCATGAAAGATTTTCGTTGTCAGTGAGTTGTGAGAGATCTTTATGGCACACATGTAAAAGAACTTTCACATGACAGAAATCTTCCCATTGGTGACCATTTATCATTGGAGATGGATTGGGCCAAATACATATAATATTTTCTTTTTTACATTTTACCCAGTTTTCTTTTATGATTTTGTATTGTAGGTACAGTTTGAAGAGTGAAAGATTTTTATATTCAGCAGGCCTATTCCAATATTGTTGAAGATATGAGAGACCTGTTCTTCCATCTTCATGTTCATCACTATCATGAAGCAAATGATTTGCCTCTTTGTTGAGATTTAAAGTGACAAAATTTCTGCTGCAGTGGTATAGTGATATTTGAAGAAGAAGATGACAAGTCTTTTGGGCAGAGTAATCCCATTCTGCCACTATGTGAAGGAGAAGTTTCTGAAATGTCTTTAAAGCAGGATCATTGGGTATATTATCATGAAGGGCTTTATTTAATACCTCTGAGAAAGCCAGAGATCGTGGCTCTGCCTTGCTAGCATACTTAGATACATATTTCAAAGCTGCATGAAGTGTGAGGACAGGTTTTAGATCAATATTTGCTCACCACCCTTGGAGTTGAATATGATTGTGAGGATTTATAAGAGGATTATTTCTAGCTGTAATCAGTTCTAGACAACTATCATTGTGTTGCACAACCATTTGACTACACAATTCCTTGGGAAATATAAACCTGCAGGCCTGTTCACCCATTTGCTTATTGGTTCGCAAGCAATAGGAAGTGCTACAATGTGCATGTCATTGCAATTTGTTTATTAATTCAACATAATCTTGCAGGCTATCATCAAGATTTTCTATGGTTTCTGGCATGGGTGGCGACTTGGTAGAGGTGCATGCTAATCAGGATTTATTGTTGTTACTAACGAGTCTAAGTAGTGTACCACTTCCTCCATTTTTTCTTGATTATTGCTTATTTCCTCCCATTCAATTTTAGGTGCTTCCTTCTGTTTTGCAATTCCATGCACGTGCACGCTACCACGGTGTTGCCATTCAAAACAGTACCACCAATCTACTAATCCCCATTTTGGTATTAAGACCTTTTCAAAGAAAATTTTAAACTGCTTTTCAAAATACCATGCAGCAATGTGGGGATTGTCTATAAGATCTTTGTGCCTGCATTTTGAAGCTTCTTGATTAGTCTCTTCCTCTACAGAATTTTCTCCACTGGGCATGAGTTTATGCAGATCAGGCCAATACAAATCAGCCACACTAAATGTAAAAAAGATCATTCCCTGATGCCCCAGCTGTTTTATCATATCCGTCAATTTAGCACTATGACGTATCCAATACTGCCGGGTACCACGTAGACCTTCACCATATTGCACCACACGGTTTGCCATAGTAGGATCATTTTACATTAAGTCCAGGACCTCAGCTGTAGTTAATCGCTCTTTTTCTAAATTCTGTCAAACAAATACCGGCCCTCTGATAATGCTCTCCATCTCATTAGTGTATTTAACGCAAAATAACACCATCGTGGATGACGGGCAAATTGACTATCTTTATAAAGCAGCAGATGCTTGAAATATTCTGCTGGCTTTACTTCATTGACTCTGTGGCTGTGAAGGTTTGCAATACCTTGAGGAAAAAGTGTTGGGAATGCTTGTGCCATATACCCGGGAGTACAAAATTCATCGATGGGTAAAGCTTCGATATGTGGCCAATCAACTAATGAATTTTTACCTGTTGAATTGTTTTGTTGCATTCGGTTGAGTGTTTCATTTATTGCATCATCCTCACTACGCCCAGGTGGCATAGAAGGCACAAAGATCTGTGAACTAAAGCCATTTTTAATTGTTTTATTGTTAACTTCATATGAATTTATATTTTCTTCACTTGATTCTTCATAATTAGTTTCATCATCCAATAGTTGTGAAAGCTGGTCAATAATTGATCCATTTTCTGGTAAGGATTGCAATGTGCCATTATCAATATCAATATCTTTGTAGAACACATTATTGGCCTTTAACCAATAGAGTGCTTGAGTTATTTTTTTTCGTCGAACATGAAAGTTGCAAAAGGTAGATCTATTAGTTGAATGGCGTCTAACAACAAGTGTATTCAGTGATAATGGGTTATGTGGTAAGCAGGTCATGAATTCTTGCACGTCTTGCGGAAAATTTATAACATTTCCTTGATATGCATATTGCCCTCCACGAAGAGTATATACTGATATAACAGGAAACATTTGTACAATCAATATTTCTTCAGTATCAGTTAAACCCTGAAGTTGTGGTGAAACATCACCTAAAAAAAGGTAAGTATGCTAAGATTATATCAATAAGTAGTTAAATATTATTACCAGGATCCATATTGTTCTCCACTGAGAATTTTTTAATATCACTTTTTTTATAATGACAACAACGGCATTCTTCTTCATAGAGTTCAATTGATGGAAATTGTTCATTACACACAGAGCAAAGTTTATTTCTAAGATTATTGATTGCATCGCAAAAATCTGAGAGAAGCTTATAATCATGGCTTGAAATATTTTCTGAATTTTCTGCTACTTCTGAAGAATTTGTTAAGGCACGTATTCTTCGTTTATTTGATGTGTTTTTATTTCTTGCATTGGCTCTTTGCTCTTCAGTTTCATTCACTTTTTTTGTCTATATGTTTCATGCCTGTGAGCAAGGCGTGCCTCATGTTCTTCATTGGTTTCTGAGGCTAATTTTTTGCATTTTCAGCTCCAGTCATTAGCCCGGCGCGTCTCTAAGCTAAGTATCAAATTTTTTTATTTTCATTAGCTTTTTCGTTTTGCATGTTTAAATTTATAACAATAAGTGATAATATAAGATTGATTTTTGGTGTTAATTTTGTTAGGTTGTCATTCTTATTGAAACAGAGATGTTATGATCAGCTTGTATGGCGGTCAAACTTATAGCGGTAAATATATATATATATGCATTTAATGTTAGTTCATTCCAATAATTTATTTAGTCATATGATCATAGGATTTCAATATTAGAAAAAACCTTAGTTTCGTTTAATATGCTATTCGTGGTTGTTCAATAGATAAGTATAAACACTTATTTATTTAAGTCATTCAAGTTCTTTAATTTTATATTACTTAATGCTTTTTATTAATTTATTTATTACGGGTTAATTTTGTGGTATAATATAATATTTATTAACTAATAATTTTAAATTACCTCAGTCGGCTACTATTATCAGCAAAATTTTTAAGCAGATATATATCGATATATGGCAGTTTATCAATATATATCAATTAAAAATCATCGATATTTATCGATTAACTGCTATATAATGATATATATTACTAATAATATACAGTCGACCCTCTCAAAATCGGTATGGATGGTGGACAGATTTTCAATTTTGAGAGGTTATCGGATTTGAAAACACAAATTATTATACAGTCGACCCTCTCAAAATCGGTATGGATGGTGGACAAATTTTGTATCAATTTTTAGAGGTTATCAGATTTGAAAACTTTACAAATTATTATACAGTCGACCCTCTCAAAACCGATCCTGTCAAAACCGATAACCTGTCAAATCTGGTAAAAAATTAATCCATCAAATCCGTTCCCATTCTATAAATATAATAATTTGTAATGTTTTCAAATCAGATAACCTCTCAAAATTTATACAAAATCTGTCCACCATCCATACCGATTTTGAGAGGGTCAAAACAAGCATCTGTATTATAGGAAAGCTAGCATCTGAGCAATTTTTACTTAGTATATATAGTTTCAGACGTTTAGAGGTCAAAGGTAGTTATTTTTATACGTCACCCTTTAAGTCATATATAATTTATATATAATTTAATACGTCATATTAAATACGTCATGTCAATACATCATAGTAAATGTTAATTGATATTCTAATGTCTGCAGCTTTATAGTATGTGAACTACTGGTTTATTAGTAAAATTTTGCATGCATTTTAGCTAAAATTGCCAATTCCAACATATTCTGACCTATTTAGTGATTTGCAACAGGTGGCAAAATAAAAAAGCAAATATTTTAATTATTAAAATTTGTAGTAATATTAATTTTTATTTTTCTTATTGTAGTAATTAGTATATAATATATTTTTTTTTATTTGGATAATCTATTTGTATAAAGTTTAATGAAGTTAATTTTTTTTGGTTTAAAAAATAAATAACCAATCTGATCTTTATTTTTATTTTTAAAAATTTTATTAGTTATTATATTTTAAATATATTATTAGATAAGTTATACTATATATTCAAAATTGAATACTTAATGCTTCGGACCTTAACAGAGCCTGTTTACCTAGTCTAGAAGAATACTTTGACTTATTTCACGAAATCAAGAATTAACAAAAGATCAAATCATAGAATACCTAAATAAGCTATTTAAAGATATAGAATCAGAATACGACAAGACGTAAAATAATAGGACCAACATATAAAAAAGACTCAACTTGTATTTAAATTAATAAAGAAACTTGGTAACATAAACAAAATTAAAGGAAGAATAGAAGAATACGATAAGAAACAATTTAAATACTTATTATTAACAGAAATAAAAGATCTATATAAAGAAGTAACAGGAATAGGAATTGAAATAACAATCCAAACCCCAAAAGAATATCACGAAGAATTGTGGACAAAATAGAATAATATGGAAGAACAGTAATATCAACAAATCCCTGAACAAATATGGAATAAAAACCAAAAACAAAATTAATTTTATATATATATTATTCTACAAATATTGAAATTAATTCTGTAACAATTCTCATCACCTATAACTTAGAAACATAATTCGTTATAATAAATCCAAAATGGATTGGTCTTAAAAACATACTTCGCTATAATACATCCAAAATGGGTTGGTCTTAAAAACTTTGACAGTTTCAGGATCAGAATTTTTTAATAATGATTTACTGGTGTACATACATGGTTCGTTGAACATAGCTTTCCATACCCAAATTTTATCATTACCAAAGTCATCATCGTTATTTTTTACTGGCATTACTACATATGGACCCCATAGATGTGATGATTTATAAGACCATCCAGATGCTATAAAACTAAATGATGAACCGAATGTAACCACCAGATCGTCACAAAGGCTAAGAATTTTTAAATCGGCAAGTGCACCTATTTCTGTACCAGGATTTACGCTATCTTCATATATATCCATATCATTTCCTGCATGAACAATCTTAACTGAATCGTTCTTCGAGCCAAGTGAACTATAAAGACAATTTATTAAAATATCGCGGTTGGCATTGTCATCAGCAGCTATAAAGATGGTCACATTCTTTTTTTCCATTCCCGTTATCAGCATTTTTGCTGTATAGCAATAATGTTCGGTAGGTGTCTCAAAGTCGTGTGTGTAACCATTCTTATGTACTCTTAAGTGAATTCCTATATTATACTCTCCGAAGTTGTTATCTACAAAATCTGCTACTTTTTTAATAATATTGCGTTTTAGTCTTAATAATTTTTGACTAATTGAACCGTATATTTTATTGTCCGGTATTATACTACTAATCCATTCTTTGTAGTTCGGATTCGAAATTATCGGTGCACAGACATAATCATATGATTGAACATATAAAATATCATATGAATTTATTTCCTCATTATTAAGGTTTCCTCTTGTTATCAATTGAAATTCATTATCTCCATCGTTATGTAAATATTTGAAACTACTATTATTATATAAGTTTGCAACGCTTTCCCAGTCATGCTCAAAATCTTTTTCGAAAATTTCTAAAAAGTTATAAAACCCATCAATAAAAAATAACCTATCGGTAATCATCGAATATAAAAAACCACATATTAATCCAGGTAACCGGTTCCCTAATCCTGCATCCATATGAACATGTACAACAATAACTTTTGGAAGCTTAGTTGAACTATTTTTAGTAGTTTGATTTAATAATTTTGCAACGGTTCGATTGTGTTTTTTAATATAATCATCATATAATATATCAAATTTAGGAAATTTCTGCCTTTGTTTCTCTATTTCTAGAAATTTAGAAGATGGTATAGTACTGGTAGTATTTTTATCTGAAAGATTGTCGTTAGCTAATAAGAATGAATTTTCCTCATTGATACTATTAATATAATATCCTGTTAAAAATAAAATAAGCACAACAGAAATAGTAGCAATCAACATTAAGTATTTTATCATATTTAAATTATATAGTATATGTATTTAATAGTTTTAATGAATTTAATTCAAAAAAATTGATACTTGTTTGATCAAACTATATTTCGAGGTGGTAGAGAGAAATGAAAATTAGCCAGGGAGATTACCAAAAGTGCGGTCTTATGCATAACGATAACAAAATATTGTTGTTTGCTTATGTTTTAAATTTAGTGCGGAATAGGGACCTCAGTTTTATGTGATGCGATGCGCATAATTGGCCAATTTTTGTCCCTAAATGCGCGTGCCAATCAGATTTCAGTATTCAAGTTATGATAGATAAGAATACTCAAAGCTGCTCTCTCTAAATGCAAACCTCCCTAAGTGCACCTTTTAGGTTGGCCTGTACATATTGCATTTAGTGCGATTTGACTGTAGTTCAATTATTGTCGCGGATCATAAAGAAATATGATTTAAATGAAATGAGTTTCTATTTAACCATTTATAAACCACTTATACTTATAAACTCTACCTAAAACTAACCTCTTACCCTAACCCTAAAAAAATGCACCTTAAAAATTTTTATTTTTCAGTGGCTTTTCTATTTTTTACATGGTACAATATTTCATTTTAACCCGTCACAATTATTAATTTGCTGTTAACAATTAATTCTGTCCTATATTTTGATACACAAAAATTAATTATATTTCGCATAGCACACTGCGTTTGCACGACAAACCTTATGTATTTTATTTAGTACGTACGTACATAAAAGAAAAACAAGATATGTGAGCTTTGATAAGAGATTGATTTTTTTTTTTTTGTACGTATAAAGACAAATAAGTTGGTTATTTTATTGTATAAAATGAAAATTGTGTAGGGGTTTTTATTAGAAGTTACGTATAATACGTAATTAATTATGGGATTATGCTGGAATTTGGGGTCTCTATTTAAACCTATAAATAATATCTACTAAAAATTCATATACTACTTTATTAATAAAACTATCTCTTAACTCTAGCCTAACTATAAAAAAACGACCACAAAAAAAGGACCTAAAAAATTTTACAATTTCATAATAAAATACAGCAAATTTTCAGCATAATCCTCGACATTAATTAAAACTGTTTTATCGATACAATTTTGTCATCAGTGGAAATGTAAAAATGGAGATGGCGCATGTTAATTTTTTTCGTTAAATCTTCAAATTTTATGTTTCAATATTAGCCGATCGTTATCATTTCATCAGTCCGATAAAAAATTCGATGAAAAAAAAACAAAATTATTGAATATCAAGAAACAGGTTAACAAACCGGAAAAGAAAACTCATAAATAAGTATGAGAGGCCAATAGTGCAGGAAAATCACTTTTTTGTCTTTCAAAAATTTTTTATGGGTGTAGGAATACGTTTCATTCTCGTGTAACTTTCTTATACTAACAGCTAAACTTTGAAAAAAGGAAACAAAATATCGATATATATTTACGTATCAAAAATTGTATCACGGTTTTAATGCGTTAAATAATTAAATGTTTACTTCGTGCATACGTACGTGTAACATTAACGATTTTAATATAAAATGGCATTTTTTTCGAATGTTTCAGCAATTATTGATTGTAACATGAATTCCTATTATTCGTCAATAATGCTAAAACAGCATCTAACTAGCAGATATGCGACAAAAATATATATATGTTTCCTAATTGTTATATTATTAATGCATTTAAGTTACTGGCTCCGATTTTTTGATAATTCCGAAAATTTAAATTCATTTAGACCCTCTAATCGCACACTTGGCTTTGACCATATTTACGTTATTCATCTTGACTATCGAGCGGATAGGCGTGAAAGATTAGATAAAATAGCATCCTATCTTGATTTAGACTTTGATTATTTTTCTGCTATTTCGAAA